TCATAAGATTTGGTAGAGTAATTCAGTAACTAGCTTCACCTCTGAGAACATTTCAAGACAATGACCAAAACCTAACCGAAAGAGTCTCATTCTTTTACGGAGCCCCGTGCACACAGCGTCAGAGGCTGTTCTGCGCGAGGCGTGGCTTTCTAAGGCCGCCCCGCCCCGGCCACGCCCCCAGAAGCAGGCACCGCCTCCTCTAGCCACCAGCTGAAGTAACTTCGCGAGTGCTTCTCGCGATACCTATTCCTCCTTAGCGAGATTTCGATAACTTAAGCGAAGAATGTCTCGCGAGAAGTTGAACCGGGAGAGTGCTGCAAGGAAGCGAGTTCCGACGGGATTCTGAAGTCAGGCTCCTGTTCTCCTGGTTCCCGGGCGGCTTTAGATGTCGGGAGATGTAAACCTCTTGTTTGGCACCTTCTGACAGGATGGTGTTGACCCGGGTGAGGGTTGGGACCCAGCCGGGCGCCTCTGACTGAACCCGACACTTACGGGCCGAGGCGGCGAGGGAGGGGGCTGGGATGTGGGAACTTCGGGATCTCTGGGTTTCTCTGGTTTCACAGACCTAAGCCCGAGAATAAAGCCGAGTGCGCTGACGCTTGCCCGTGCGCATGCTCTGTCGTTTACTCGCAAGACTTAACCTACGCCCCAGATAACTGCATCCCAGCCCGCAGACTGTAACACCTGCTCCCTTCATCTCTGAGCAGAATGCCAGCTCCCCGAGGGCTGGGACTGTCACTGCCCTTTCCTGGGAGCCTAGAAGATGCCTGTTACATAGTTGGCCCTCGACCAACTTTTCTTGGATGAGTAAATAGGATTGCAAGGTAGTTTCCAAGGAAACTAGAGTGACTTTTCTTCTGAATGAACTTTATTTTGGAATAACCCTGCATTTGCAAAAAAGTTGCAAAGATAATACAGATTTCCCACATACTTTTCACGCAGATCCCCCTAATGTTAACATCTAGACTGACTGACTTAAATTAATTTTGATAACTGTGACACAGCTTTCTGTGTTAACGCCACTAGATTCTACAATACTTTACCATTGCTTTACGTTTGAGTAGTAATCTTTTAGAGAAACCTTGTTTTTTCATAAGTAGATAGTGTGGTAATACAGTTTGCTTATGTGTGAGGTACTGCCCCCACTCAAGAACTAATAATCTAAAAAGCGTTCTTAAGAAAAAGGACTGCTAATGTTGGAGTTCAATAAATTTGTAATATTAGAGTGTGTCAGCAATTTTTTCTTATCATCATAGCTGAAAGCAAAATCAGAGAGGAAGCTTGCAAAACAGATTTGCAAAGTTGTATTGGATCATTTTGAAAAGCAATATTCCAAAGAACTTGGAGATGCCTGGAATACAGTAAGGTTAGTATAATCTGTCTCTTGATGCCTTATGGTAGAATAAGAAATAAACCCTTTGGGGGGAGGGGTGCTGTGAGGATAAAAGATAAAGGAATCTGAACCTGTCTTCCATTTATTTCCTAAAGGGAAGAGCTAGGAGGAAATAGATTGTCATAGGGAGATTGACAGGGGAGGGATAACTGTAGTGATGGTAAGCAAAAATTGTTACGCCTTATCTTGAGCAGTTGCTTTGATCTTTCCAACAGGAATGCCCATGAGTTTGACAAAATTATACTGTAATAGAACAATCTTAAAACTTTTGAGAATATTCAACTAGTTTCTGAAATTTAGAAGGTAATACAACAAGGCGTTAAAGCCAACACTGCTTTATCTTCACTGAAGTCACTATTTGGTCACCATATTTCTTCCGTGTGTGTGGCTGGTCATGTTTTAGTTTTTTTTGGTGTGTGTGTGTGTGTGTGTGTGTNTTACTACAAAGCCTATCTTTACCTTTTGACACATAAACCTCTATATGTACATAAAGGTTTTTGAGAGATATTTTATGTAAATGTGAAGATTCACAAAATTGTATAGGAGATAGCCTATAAAAGTACTTAGTCTGAAACATTGCTTAGATCAAATGACTAAACAATAAAAATGCCTAGATATGTAAAATTCCTGTTTAGCAGTAAATCCTTATAAATCTGCTTCATTCTTCATCCCCTTTCTCTTCGACACTGAAAGAAAACAATGTCTGGTTTTTGTGTCAGCTCATTTTATTTTTTAAATGTCTGCAGTGGTTTAAAACAAATCTGCTTCTAACCGGTTTTATTCTTAAAACTCAATGTGGAGTTTTGTTTATTCAGTAACTATTTGGTATGGGATAGCAGAAATCTATTAATCTATTCCATGATACATTAGTATTGATTCTGGATGCAATTTAACCATTTCACTCCTTAATACTATATATTCTTTTGCACCAAATCTAAAATTTTAGATTACTGGGGAACTTGTTTGAAAAAATAAATATATTAAGGTTCAAATCACATCATTGGTAATGACATTTATCTTTTTACATGACCCTAAGTTTTGCACCTATAATATACACCTATACAGATATTTTGAGCATCATGGGTCTCAAAATGATGATGCTTATTAAATATTAGGGGTCACATTAAGCACTGATTGCTTTCTGATAAATTGCAGATTGCTGTTACAAGGGAGCAACTAAAGAGAAGCACTAAAAGAGCAAATAAAGTGCTCTTACTATCAGGATGAGTGTTAATAACTCTCGCCTTCCTGAGAACTGCCACTAGTAAAGGTGGGTGAGGTAGTTAGTGAATACAGTCATTTTGAATTTCAGGGATTTGGTATCAGATCTTGATGATAATCAGAAAGATCATGATAGTGAAAACACAGCAGCAGCTAACATTTGGGTGTTAACAGTTTCCAGGGCTTTGGCCTAAGCGCTTTACTTGAGTGTTTCAATTTAATCATTTAAGCCTCCCAGTAAAAGAGATTATCTCAATGGGCTATCTGTAGGAAACATGTGACTTAATTTCTTTTTCATCATATCCATCCTTTTATCCTGAATTGTGAATATCTGGGCTAACGGGGCTCATAAGATTTGGTAGAGTAATTCAGTAACTAGCTTCACCTCTGAGAACATTTCAAGACAATGACCAAAACCTAACCGAAAGAGTCTCATTCTTTTACGGAGCCCCGTGCACACAGCGTCAGAGGCTGTTCTGCGCGAGGCGTGGCTTTCTAAGGCCGCCCCGCCCCGGCCACGCCCCCAGAAGCAGGCACCGCCTCCTCTAGCCACCAGCTGAAGTAACTTCGCGAGTGCTTCTCGCGATACCTATTCCTCCTTAGCGAGATTTCGATAACTTAAGCGAAGAATGTCTCGCGAGAAGTTGAACCGGGAGAGTGCTGCAAGGAAGCGAGTTCCGACGGGATTCTGAAGTCAGGCTCCTGTTCTCCTGGTTCCCGGGCGGCTTTAGATGTCGGGAGATGTAAACCTCTTGTTTGGCACCTTCTGACAGGATGGTGTTGACCCGGGTGAGGGTTGGGACCCAGCCGGGCGCCTCTGACTGAACCCGACACTTACGGGCCGAGGCGGCGAGGGAGGGGGCTCGGATGTGGGAACTTCGGGATCTCTGGGTTTCTCTGGTTTCACAGACCTAAGCCCGAGAATAACGCCGAGTGCGCTGACGCTTGCCCGTGCGCATGCTCTGTCGTTTACTCGCAAGACTTAACCTACGCNTGGGACCTACCTAGTACACTGAGTAAAAAGCATTCTACTTCAGTTATAAAATTAATAACAACCTAAATTTGATAGGTGGCTGAAATGTAAGGAAAATCAACACAAGAAAACAGATGTAAATTTTGAACTGGATTTTAGAGAAAAACAAAAACAAAAACGTGTTGCATATACTTTGGGTTTCTTTTGTGAAGGAACCAAAACATTTACATTTATTTATTTTTACAAACACTAAACTCATATTTTTGCCATCTTTTTAATACTCATCTAGTTTGAGAATATATATGTTTTTAAAATTTTTGTTTCCTACCAGTGATTACTGTACTGTACAATAATTACTGAGTCCAATTAATAAAATAAAAGTGGCTTTTGAAATTAAATATATTATAAAGTGGAATTAATGTTTTATATTTCTCAAAAGTTAATTTGTATTCTTAAAGCATTCTAACAATATTTTACAAGTTTTGTAAATCCTGGTAGCTTTTAACAATTTAATACCTATTTTGTTATATGCTGCATTTTTATTCTTAATCATCGTGAATTATGACATTTTCACGCAATAAAAATAATTTATATCAGTATGCTGTTTTCTCTTTATTTGATAAATTTAAATGATTGTTTTGGGGTAATAAAATAGGAAATGGTTTTTAAAATATGATTGTTAAAAGACATTTTAAGTCGATAGATTAAAATAATAATTTTTTTCTTATTTTTCCATGAGAAAGTTTTTTCTCTGCAGAAGTTTTTATATATGTGGGAAAGAATGTTGTCATTTTAAAGGCAGTTAAAAATAAGATCATATCATCTTATGATTCTAGGTGACTCGATATATGTCTTAAGTTAAAGCTGCTTACCAAAAGATAGATATATAATTCTATATGCCTTTATGTGTCAAGTGCACATATAACATATATACAATATTGTATGTAATCGATTTTAAATAAAACTATGCATGGAAACAACACTAAAAAGTGTTGTAAAATGCTAATAGTGGGGTTTTTAGAGTTACTGGTTGTGTGTTTCAATTTTTCAAACTAATTTTTGTAATTTGACTTTTATAATGGGGGAAGAAGATTTGTAATTTTGTAAAAATTAAGTTTCATGTTCTGCAGGTTTGAAATTAAGAGCTCTTTTAAGTGCCAAATGAAAGACTAAAATTCACTTGATATGCAAAACTTCCTGTGAAGAGCCCAAAGATATTCAACTGTAGAATATGCCGGTATATTTGCAGCTGATCTCCAACTAAGTGGTTTTTTACTATGACAATATTTTATTTGTTACGCAGTTCTATATGCTATACCCATTTATGTTCAGTTTCTATATCCAATGCTTCCAGGTGGCAGAAGCTTATCAAAAGTGAAACTGCTTACACAAATAAAGCTGTGACTTACAAACTTTAGTATCCTTGGCTTTAATACCTAAGTTTTCTCTAAATGGAGTATACACTGCAGC